TGATATACAGAGAAAATAAAAAAGGTGATAGATTTTCACCTTGTCTGACCCCGACATTGCAGGTGAAATATTCAGAAGACACACCATCCACATTTAATCTTGATTTTATGCCTGCATACATATTTTTAATGTAAGTGAAACACTTCCCACTAACACCATTTGAAAATAATTTGTACCAAAGACCACCTCTCCACACAGTATCAAAAGCCTGTTTAAAGTCGAAGAACGCACAATATACCCCCCCCTTTTTTTTTTTAGCTATTTATAAGTGCAATGCAAAATCAATATATTATCTAAAGTACAGTACACTTTTCTGAAACCTGTTTGACTTTCGTTAATCAGGCTGACATTTTCTGCATAGATTTCTACTCGTTTTTTCAAAATACTAATGAAAAGTTTCCCAAGGCAGCTCAACATGTGATCGGGCGATAGTTCTCGGGTTGTGTTGGGTCTCCTTTATTTTTATAAATAGGTTTTACAATGCCTATAAGCCATTCTTCCGGTACTATCCCAGAGTTAAAAATTAGATTAAACTTCTCGTATAGAAACAGAAACAGTGAAATTGTGGTACTAATATGTTCATTAAGAATATGGTCACTTCCGGGAGATTTGTTGCTTTTTTAGGTCTTTTACGGCGGCCAAAATTTCATCTTGCGTAATTGGACAATCAAGTATTTCATTAAATCTACTTTGTTCATTTATGTTGATTGAATCAGTTTCCTCTAAATTGGCTTCATTAAAATTTTTGAAAAAGGTATACAGATTATTTAAATCAGCTATACATTTGTTATTTTTATCTTGACTATTTAATATTTTCCAGTATTCCTTTGTGCTGTTTGTTCGCATTTTTTTTTTTTAATTTTCTGAGAGAGATCTTGCCTGTAGTCGTTTATTGATGAATCCATTACTTTTTATACTCTTTGCTAGCTAGTTTTAGATTTTCTTTAGAATCTTGGGTTTTAATTCTATTATGCATACGTTTAGCTAAGTGAATTTTTTTTCTCGCCGTTCTACAATAACTATTAACCACGGTTTTTCGGGTTTTTACCGGTCTATACTAGCACAAAAATTGTCTGCTCTGTTCTTTGATCTTTACTTCCTACCCCTGTATAGTTACATGGAGCATTTTGAGATACCGTTTCACTGAATGACAGGGGATTGTGTGCGCCAGAATATGTTACAAAAATCTACAACATTAAATTTGCTTAAAAAATGAAATAACTGTACACTAGATATCACATAATCAACAGTACTTCTGTTCTTGCATGTAAGAGCACCTGTAGATTTATCACTTCCGTATCGACCGTTAAGAATTAAAAGATTGTTGTTAACACAAAAATCTACTAATTTGTAACCAAAATTTGCTTGTTACATCTTTGACTGTTCTGACCAGTGGAATACCAAAACTCTCTAATAAATTAACATTTGTATTTACACTTTGAGTAACATTATTACAGTTTTGGACATTTGCTAAAAAATCATCAGTTATAACATAGTCTTGTAGTTTTCCAACCCTGGCATGCATTAAAATCTCCTAATATTGAAACAAACATTATTGTTATTTTTAGTTATTTTATGCAATTCTTGTCCAACTTCCAAAAACAATCAGGGGACGAATATTTGCTGTTTTCGGGTGGTATATAAACAACTCCGAAGTAAACATCTTCATTGGAATTAATTAACAATTTGCTCATTTTAAACAAAAGAACGTATTTACAATCTGTTTCTTTAACCTTACGTATTTTACATTTGTACTAATACAATGTTCATAAACATCACTGCATAATTTTGAGTGAAGTCAAACTAATTAAGATAATTATTATAAGTATGTGTTTATCTAGCTCTATTGTTAACAAAATTTACAATAAAAACTTCAAGAAGGTCTTATCTTTCCATATCCTTTGAGTTCGACAAAGACATGGAGATGTGCGACTTATCTTCTAATTGTTTCATTTGTATCAGATTCAAAGGTAAAAGAACCGTAGATCTTAGTGGTCACCTGAATATGACGTACTGTTTTAATCACACTTGGGAACCGCGGAACTCTAAACCCATCTGGCACATATCTTGTAGTTTTGAATTATTATGGAAATTCTTGACTTTTAATCCCAGTGTATGATTTGTGATTGTTAAATTCTCATTAAAAGAAATGTTTAAAGCTACAAAACATTTTTACTATGAACTTAACCACAACTTAACCCCACACCGAGGCCTGAACAGAGAGAACATGATTTTCACAAAATTGATGGATGACTGATTGCTAATGGTTAAGATACCCATAAGTAAAAAAAATATTTCATGGACATGATGCATGTTCAAAATAAAACCATCACGACATTTCCAACCTTAAGTTTGAGCCCTTTTTTTAAATTCATCTCCACGCCACGGCCTCAGGTGGGAAGGTACATTTTTTCTGTTTTGTTCTTCCAAAAATTATACATATGATTTGTTAAAATTTGTTCAATTATTTTAAAAAGAAGAAGCTAAAAATGTTTATCGTTTATGACAAAGGAATGGGGACAGGTAGCAATGACTCAGGTGATTCAAAAAAAGGAATTAATTACTTCATAGCATTTAAAGTTGATTAAATACAACAAAGCACTTTTTATGCTGTTTGACCTTGATGTGTGCAAATCTGATCGATTGAACAATCATTAATGCACCTCTCAGGTGTTAGTTCCTAATTAGTTGATGAAAGAGTTCCTTCCGTATTATAATATCTTTGTTCTACCTTTTTTATTCCTCTTCTTGTACTTAAACTGACAATAATTGCTGTATTTCATCTCTTCGACGGATATTTAGTTTTGTTTTGGGCTTGTGATGATAAATACTAAATTCTGCTAAATAACAGTATGGCAATCAGATCCCCACTATAACGAATATCAAACATCGGAACTGTCATCTTCTCTCCTATGATAAATAATGTATCGAAAACATGTATCTGATCAATACATTTGAAAATATAACATTATTTCAAAAAAATAATTTTGAATATTTATTTTTGTGAAAATAAAAGTATCAATTTGCATTTTTTTAGACATGAATTTGAATAGATTGATGTAAGAACAAATACAATTTTTGTGGACGGTCTTTGACTAAGATAGTCGTATAAAAATGAGAAGAAAAAAAAAATAAATGCCACACATTATGCACTATTTGTCTTCAGAAAATTTTCTAATGAATCTAAATTTTAAAAAATCTTTTCTCATGTAGGTGGTTATTTTAATAAATGTCAGGTTTTTCTCCTGTCAGAACTTGATGACTTAAAAAAAAATTATAATGACAGAGTCAAGTCACTCCAACTCCAGCCTTTACCCACATCTGGTGTAAGTGTACCTGAAGCTATACATAACATTTAATTTCGTCAATACACATGCACAATGCAAATAAGTTTGGAAATAAATTAAGTAAACTTAAAACTACTGCAGTTTCAGAAAATAATATAGCACTGGCCGTTAACCTTACAGAAAGTATTAGATCTCAGTCACATATTATTGTTCAGATCTCATCAATCTGTTTGGAAAAAGAAGATGATAGATAGATAGATAGATAGATAGATAGATAGATAGATAGACATCCATCCATCCATCCATCCATCTATCTATTCTCAAATTACATACTAGTAAACAGAAATTTTGAAAACCTTATTTTATTTTGCAAAAATTTGAGTCGTTTAATATCAAACCTAAAAACGATGCTTCAAAATCTGACCAAACAGCCATATCTATATACTTCAAGAAAATAGCTTTCGAGTTTTTTTTCTTGTAAAGCAGAATTAATAACGTTTTTATTATCTAAGACTTGAACTAGGCTTGACATTATAATTGCAGAATGATAAACATAAATTATTTATGTAATCGATCAGCAAAAAATTAAAATGAGAAGAAAAATCCAAAATATTCTAGGGAATTATTCAAACACTACTTTCAGCTGTCACATTAAAAGACATTTAAATAATTGATGCTGTACTTATTCTTACTACTAATAATAATTATGAAAACTGAAAACAATGTCAGCAGCACTTACATTCACAGTTGCATATCATATTTTGTAATCTTGATTAAAAATGAAAAAAAGAAAAATCAAGATCAATTAAGATCGTTTTGATTCTTTATCTAAGCTTTAATTTTTAAAAATTGATAAATTTCCCTTTTTCTTTTAGAAGGAAATTATTCTAAACTACCTTTGTTTTCTTAATCATATAGAAATCAAAGTATCTTACTATCACATAATTCATAGATTTGTAACAGATTATCAAAGACTTATTTTATGTTGAGTCCTTAATTACTGTACTTGAGAAGTAAACCATTTCTACGTCTACTGGTCACAAAAAAACCCCACAGCGTCAATCTGTGGTGAATTATATTCTTACTTTTATTTATTCAATTATTTTTCAAATGTTTAGTTTACGCTTAAATTGAGGAAGTAATCCTTGCAATCAATAAACATTATAATTAATTTGATTAATCATAACATTGACTTTTAAATCATGATTGGTTTATTTGGTCAATGATGAATTTCCATGTTCAATGATTCCCCCAAAAAATTGATTCGAGAATTATCTGCTTGCAAAAAATAAGACTTTTCCTCCCGGACACGGTTATCTTTATACATAAATTGTTTATTAATTCATTTGAAAAGATGTGATTTTGTAAAAAGCACAAAATTAGTCAAAATCGAGTATAATGAATATACAGCACATGTAATTATATCATTAATTGGCAGAATGAATACCTTGCATTGTATGCAGATTTCTATTAGAAAGTTGTATGACCTTTGAAATGTTTACCAAATAAGAGGGAATTATTTGTGTGACGTATGATGTTCGTGTCAAATTACCCTATGAGATGTGGGAGATTACGTCGGTATAGGTGAAATTTCCTTCGTTCCCCACTTTCCCGTTAGTGACATGCGCAACACAGTCACTACATGACCTCATTTGCAGCGAGTGTTCCATATATAAATCGTCACTGTTGCTGAAATAATTATTCCTGATTTCACGGTGCGACACGTTCTTTGAAAACAAAGAAAAAATACCAATTGAAAATGCTAATTTGTCGATTTCTTTCTACTATTGTAAGTTTCATTTTTATCTGTGCATGTCGAAGTTTTATAATTGACACTGATTCTGAATTTGGAAGAAATTGTGAGTCAAACACACTTGGAGATAGGAATTGTACTTTTGTCGTGCCAAATAAATGGAGTCTTTTGAAATTCAGAAAATGGCTCGACAACGCGAATGGAAATGTCAGAAACGTCAATCTTGATCTTACCTGTATTGATGGTGGAATTGTCTTTTTACCATGGCCTTTCAGAGCAAGGAATCTTCGAAGAGTTCACGTGAAAAATTGTTTAATTGATGGCTACTACTCTGAGTACAATGTCAACTCAAAATATCCTAACACGGTAAAAGACATGGCTCTCATAGACGTGGCAATCCTCACTGATATCAACCAGTTAATTGAAATAAATCTCAGTGACCCATTGGTGAAATCAAGCACCTGCGGACAGGAAACCAACGTATGGTTCATCCAAAGGAACGTCTCGTTCTCATTTGTTCCGACGAAATCATCTCCTTCTCTAAACCTTCTCCAAGAGGGTTTCGACTCATTGGCGGAAAAATCTAAAGCTCAACCCTTTACCTGTAACTTTGAAGATCTGATTTATCTTGAACATACAGGTAGTAACAGTATCTCAAAGATCCACTTTGACACAATGACCGATCATTCCGTTTATCCGAAACTCAAAGTTTTTAATTTTTCCTCAAATTATCTTTTAAGTATCCCCAAACAACTATCGAAATGGTGGAATTTTTTCCCTGCCCTGCGCTGGCTTGATCTCTCGAACAATGAAATTCAATCCTTTTCCTTCGAACATCCTGATGTCAGCCAGGAGTCTTTGTACATTAATTTAGCAAATAACAACATAACAAGCGTTCCAGCGGACTTACCATCATATGTAAGTGGGAAAACGTCAGTTCTAATTAATCTTCTAGGTAATCCTATTCATTGTGATTGCCGTGCTATTGCACTCAAACAGTATCTGAAATCACTTCGTCGAAGGGCTCCTCAATTCAAAGGTTTGTCCAATATAAAGTGCCACTCTCCAAGTAAGCTTGTGGGAAGAAAGGTACGAACTATCAACAAAGTGTGCTGAGGAAATTGTGATTAAAATGTTTACAGTTTTGACTATCCATGATGTAAATCCATAATAAATCCAGGTGGGACCGCACCACCAATTTTATTTGCATTATATATATATTATGCTATTTTATTTGTATACATTTTTTTGCTTGTAAGTTTTGTCAATAAATATAAAAATTATCTTAGATTTTTTTTCTGATAGTAGGCAAATCAACTGTCTTCAAAGAAACGATTTGCTATCAAAATAACATTAAAAAAATATTACAATTTTTGTGTTAAGATAGAAATGACAATTAAAAATGAATTGAATGAATGAAACCATACTAAACTCTTTAACATGCTCTAGATTCAATTTATAAACATACATGTATACATTTATATGAAATTACATAAAAATATGCAAATTTGTTCCGACGATATAGATTTTGGCTGAAGGAAAATCAAACTTGTTTTTTTTTTATCGAAAAAGAAAGCTGTCTGTTTTTGGTATTCCATCAATTGCACTTATTGTCCATAAAATGTCTTCAAGTGAATTAGTAGCCGGAAGCTACATGTATGTGGTGTCAATAAACATGGAAAACTGTCAATCAAGTCTAATAATACAGGAAATACAACGGTTAATGGCATATATAAGTTAAAAAAATCAGAAACGTATTGTCAAAGGTCCATCGTCGTGCCACTGTAAATCTCACTTCAAATTAAAGAATCCAAACAACCAAACAACCATAATGTTTTGGATTGAACCGCATGCATGTGCATGTTCGTTTTAGATACAATTAACCATTAAAAAGACATTTATCGATGATGAATTGATATTTAAGCTAACTCAAGTCGATACATTTTTTCCCAATTATTTGTTTAAAGTAGTTTTACTAATCATTTTTCTACCTGAGAATATTATTTAATTAAAACAAAGATATTATTAAGCTTAATATTCCAAAATAAAGCCTTATCTTCAAAATCTTAGCTAAGATGCCAGACGTTACGTAAAGGATGTGTGAACCACAATTTTTATATGAACGGATGTGCTTGAAAAAACGTTGTCAATTATTGGAAGCTGTGTACAGAGCCCTTAAACTTGTGGAACTGGATTTCTAAAAAAGGTATTCTTCATCGCATGATTCATTTGACTGGATGTAACGAGGTAATGCTAGATAATACTTCAGAAATTTGTTGAAGCAAATATTTTTTTCTTTTATATTCTATTCCTCCTCTTTGCAATCTGTCTTTTATCAAAAGAATAACATCATAATGAGGCTCATCTTAGATTCAGTAAATGTACAAAGATATATCGCTGACAATGCCACGACATAGACGAAGATTTATGTTGCATTTGATGTTTTACAGTAACTGTAAAAAAATCTATCTAACATGACAAAATTCTCTTTGGCTTCCGATAATTCAAACATATCTATGTAATGAAACTGAATATTTAATCTAATATATATATTTATCCACATTTCATACGGAATGTTAACTTACAGCTACCTTCAAAAGCTATTTTCTTTTCTTTTCTTTTTTTTATTTGCTCGCTCCGTGATCGGGAGGTCGTGAGTTCGAATCTCGGCCGCGACTGACCTAAGTCGATAAAAATAGGTAGCAACTGTTCCTTCGCCATGCGCTCGGCACTTTGAAGTGAAAGTTGCGGGTCCTTCGGATGAGACCTTAAAAACCGAGGCCCCGTGTCACGGCTGGCGTTGGCACGATAAAGATCCCTCACTGCTCAATGGCCTTGAGTGCCGAGTAAAGGTCAAAATTTGAAGCCCTTCACCGGTATATGGTGACGTCTTATATGAGTGAAAAATTCTCGAACGGGACGTAAAACAACAATCAATCAATCAATCAATCTTTTTTACTTAATGTCAAATCATTTATTTACTCATTGGCTATAAATCAAATTCTTTTACATGAAACATGGAGATAAGGAACGGTATTTAAACTCAAAGTCCATTAAACAATACAAATCGGGAGCAGAGCAAACACGGACCTCCAAAGACAGAAGTGGGATCAGGTGCCATGGAGGAGTGAGCATCCCCTGCCGACCAGTACATATAAGATTTTGCATTTGAAATCTGTCAGATTCCGTACATCATGTTGAAAATCTATGAATTTTAACTATTTCCATTTCAAAGCGTCTTTAATATTAACAAGGTGGGATACTTAATTCATTTTTACTGTCGTTGAAAGGTTTCGAGTAGGTTATAATGCGGAGAATCCCAACCTTTTTAGCTATAACTTCTTATTTTTGCCCCTTATCCGATGTAAGAGAGAGAGAGAGAGAGAGAGAGAGAGAGAGAGAGAGAGAATAATTATTGGGTACCTAAATATTTTTTTGCAAAAACAATTAAGATTGAAAGATTAAAAGATCCCCTCCCCGAAAAATTCCCTTATGTAACATTATGATTAAAACAATTTTTAGATTTGAATAAAACTTTTGAAAATATCTTTTTTTAAATACATAAATTCGATTTAAACTATATGCAACTCATTGTATAGATAAACAAACCATTTTGCCATAATGATAAGAAATGTGAAATTATACATGTATTCCAATGAAGCTGCTGTACATTTGGTCTAAAAAACAAAAGATAAATAGTTCGCATCAATGAATTCACTGTTCTTTTTCAGATGAGCAAAGGTTATAATATTGTACTATACTTGTTAAACTATTTGTACTTTTTGAACTTGTCTGACACATTCCATTATCGTGAATTACATGTTCACAATTGGAAAAAAATAATGTAAAACAAATATGTAGGTCCACGGCGTGTCTGTACTGACCTACTTACCCTTCAACACAAAACTACAATGTCATGGGCATGGAAAACATATTTTACCGAATGACGTATAAACTCTAATGTTTTCTAATATTTTGTTGCAGTAATTAACAAAATGTATGTAGAAATATTAAACAAAAACAACTGTAGCTTCAAAATGATTAATTCGATCTTATAATCTGTTGATTTAATGATAATAATAGAGAAATGATATAAAGATCGATATAAAATTTTAATACTTGCTATTGTTAAAAATTAAATGAATGAATAATAAGAGTTAAATCAAGAAATGCACATGTAGGATTATCTCTGATTTGATTTTATCTTGATAAAATGCAATACCATAGAACAATTATATTTGTCGAAATGAGCATCGTAGTAATACACTTAGGATTGTAGAATACATACAAGCACATTCGTAAGTTCTAAGTAAAAATTCTTTATACTCAAACTGTTTTCAGGTATAAAAATTAGATCTTTGCAGTACATCATTATTTAATATTACATACATTATGTTCTAAGCATTCTTTGTTTATAAAACTACACGTTATTAAAAACTGGTTTGAATATTGTTAGTTCCTGTCATTAAGAATTCAAATACAGCAAAACGCGTTTTATAGGTAGGAGCGATCCAAAAAAAAAAAAAAAAAAAAAAAAAAAAAAAAAAAAAAAAAAAGCCTAATAGGGGCAAATTAGGAGATGAAAACAAGTCGTAATTAATAACGAGATAAAAAATTCTTTAAAGAAACGAAAAAAAAAAAAAGATAAGTTAAGGAGATAAAAAGTCGCAATTAATTTCGAGATAAAAATCCTTAAAACTAGAGTTTAACTAGAATTATTATCTCGTGATTACGGCTTTTTATCTCATTAATGAAACTTTCTTTGTAATAATAACTTTTCATATTCTTATAATTTGATCTCACTAGACTTCTGCGAATTATAAATTTCTTGTCTATTTATTATCATGATTATATAGAATAATGAGCAAGGTATAAATTTAATTTTTGTAATTGCAGCATATTATATATCGAATAGTCTAATTTCTAAAATATACAAGGTGCATTTAGTTTTAAATAGTACATGTAATTCGGTTAATCCGGACAAATACCAGACTGGGATTACAAAACATCTGTTCGTATTGAATGTGTATTTTTTCAAGTTCCATTGCAATTTCTGCTGCATGTGGTTGTCATTTAGCCCTATCATATCACTGTATATATTATTTTAGTTTCCACGATGCTCTGGGTATAGTACACATAGTTGAAGGCCATCTTTTTTTAATTTTGAAGCTGGAATCTTACTGGACAAGAAATAGTTTTAAAAAAAACCCTCCCAATATATAATGCTTCGGGGATAATACTAACTAGCAACGAGCAACATAAAAAAATATCACTTGCAGCAAATACATGCACGTACCATTCGCTGTAGAGTTTTTAAAAAAGCAACAAGTATTTGTATATGACATTCATTATAACGTTAAATAAAGCACGATAACCCTAAATTGTTCTGTAGCATTAAATATAGGATCTCCCATGATTTGTAGTTGGATATGACTTTTATCCAACGAGTTGTGTGCTTTTTATCCCCGAGCCTTGGCGAGGGGATAAAAACACACAACGAGTTGGATAAAAGTCATATCCAACTACAAATCATGGGAGATTCTTTTTATCCCATGTTTAATACTTCAAAACCAATGTTTTACACTGTTTTATATAGGACTCCACTTTATTTTACTTCTTCACGCTAACGCAAAAACCATTGTGACGTCACAACTGCACTTAACTGTGGATTATGAAAAAATTATCCAATGAGTCATATCCACGGGATAAAGGGGTAAACATGGGATAAAAAAGTTTATCCCTCGGAAACCATTGTGAACCGCGACTACTCCTATGATTGGTCATCCTACTCCTACTTTCTCTAACCGCAGTAATACTTAAAATTCACCTCGGTAATGATTATCTTCTACCGCGGTTATAATGAATAATCATTATCAAGGTAGAAATTAATTATAGCCGCAGTATACGATATTTATTATCGCGGTAAAAATGTCAGTATTAAATCCAACCATATGTGCCTATACATTATAGGTTTAGAATAGTAATTTTTTATCCTATATTCAATAAAGTGAATCTTATTTAAAAACTTGAAAAAAATGTGTTTAACACTTTAGGCCTGCAAGATATTATAGGCCTGCAAGACATTAGTTTAACTTTGATAGGCATTGATTTCAACATCTATTTTATATTGATAAAAGGCGGGTCAATCCGACCCCCATCCAGGTATATTTTCTTGCGTCAATCAAGAATTTATCCACCCTTGATTATGATCTTAAATCGTTCGTATGTTGTTTATTAAAGAAAACATTTTTAAGTGCTTGTATTTCCCTCTGTGTGTGTGAGGG